ATTTTAGTGCAAGGAGTATAGAAGGGTTGAGGCCCAGTTATTGATGCGTGCTCCAATTCCTCTGAGTGCCATCACTCTGTAAAACAGCAGAACTGTCAGTTGCCACAGTGGATTGGTGAACAGTACCATCAACATAAATAATTTGAGAGAGTGTATTGTGTGACAGTCATCAGTAAGCATCTTTCTCGGCTTCAAGGCGAAGCTTTAAAAGGGTGGGATTTAAGTTGTTTTTTTTTTTTTCTGGGGAAAGGGAGGGATAGTGATTTGGAATGAGATAATACCCCATGGAGCGGGAGTGCCGCTGTTGCTTACTGAGATATATCATGTATCTGGTTGATGCGGAGATCAGTCCCAGTTTTTACGATCCATCTGGAGGAGTGTTTATTAGTGCTGAGGAAATTGTGAAGGGCTTCTTTGCAAGAGTTTGGATGGGCTAGCCTGAGCATATTGACCCCAATGAGGACATTTCTTTTGTAGTAGTAGTAGTAGTAGTAGTAGTAGTAGTAGTAATAAGAGTAATAGTAATAATGACACAGCTTCAACACTGACGTATCAGAGCTCCATAAATTCCAAACAATTACAACCGGACTGTTCCAGAAACTGAAGAAAATTAACTATGAGGAAAGAATCAGTGAACGGAACCTCATGTCAAAAGAAGAGCAGAGACTCGGAGAGGTTATATTCATGGCCTAATTGATACTTAGAACCAGTGACGAGACGGGAAGGAAGAGACTTTTAACATGAGACATTAACAGTGGGGGATAAGTGCGAGTTAAGCACCCAAACGCACCTGAGGGACTGTGGGATATGCTTCTTCATTGTAAGGACTGTTAAACAAGTGGAGGTGTACGACGAGGTAATGGAAGCAAACTCCTTACAGTTTTAAAATAAGATATGACAAAGCATAAAGGATAAGGAACAACAACGTCAGTTAATTATAGATTAAGTTAGGCCAGGAGCTGAGACTCTACCCCCGAAAGAACAACTCTACCGGTTGTGGTTGTGGTATTGCTTGTCAGGAGAAAGAGGAAAATTCGTCTTGATGGAGGACTTAGTCATATGATGACCTGCTTTTGGTCATGGTGGCGGTGGTTTGTGGACCAGGAATCAGGATGTTTCCTGACACGGGTCTTAGTCACATGATGACCTCTTAAATAGTTAAGCATCGGCTGGCCTACCCCAGGTATGACCCATGAACCATCTAAAGAACATAATCACCACATAGTGGTGACCCAAGGTTATGGAATGTTTGACAGTATTATCAAGTATTTCATGTTCAAACATTCCATGTCAACTCGCACTCACATATTTGATAAGGGAAACAGCTAGGTTTTGTTCCCAGTTTTCGTCTATAGAGTACCAACACACTGCGGGTGTACTTGTGTTAAAACATTTGTATACGACTACTGGAATGTTCATGTATCTCATCCCTTCACGGGATTTCCTTAATGCCGGTGAAGGACTCTTGTTCTGAGAAACGAACTATCTTCTCCTTCCTTGCATCGTACATGATTACTTCCCATTCGCCAAAGGGTTTGGCAAATGAAGCAGCGGGTTTGGGGCTTTATCGTGGCTGTAATAATATTGTTGTGTCCCACAGGGGCGTACCTATTTATCGTGATAGAGAGCGGCAACGAGCAAAGACTTCGTCAGTTGAAGATCCTGGTGGCGCAGGATGCCGAGGACTCCCTGGAATATATCATCTCACTGTTATGGTACCAGAACACGCAGAACCTCACCAAGACACAGTACTCCTCCATGGTGGGTAGCATGTGATAGTGCATGTGTATGTATATATCAGGTACGCACATTACCTTCTGATGTACGCGTGTACACACACACACACACACACACACACACACACACACACACACACACACACACACACACGAAACGAGCTATGCCAACAAAGTACCATGTATATACATAATAAGTACATACCTAAACATATAGTAACCCATGCATAAACATACCCTTTTTATCGTATATATAGTATCTGTGAATCATGAACTCCACTCATCTGAAACACTTCGGTGTCTCCTGCAGGTGATGAGCAACCTGAATGTGCTACAGCAGTTCGTGGTGCAGAAGGCGTCTGACCCTAGCGTCAGGTATGACGGGTATATCTACACGTGGGACTACGTCTGGACATACCCCAAGGCTATTTTCTTCACCATCACCACAATTGCTTCCATTGGTGAGTGGTGAAGGGATGGTGAAGGAAGGGGAGAGTAAGAGGGAAGGTCCTAACATCGTTAGCCAAGCAACTTACAGTAGTAATGAACGTTTACAAAAATAACGGATTTAGCAAAAATGGGAATGCGTTGGTTATACAGTTAATGAATTCAGTGTTATGTGAACATTATAGTGACATGTACTTAATGTTAGAGACTAGTTCAGGGAACTGGGTAAAGGGACTCTGTTGAATAAGTTGTTCATATGGCAGTGTGAATGAAGTCTCTTTTAGGTTGGTTAATGAAGCTTAAATCCTATAGGCTACACTAGGCTCATTAAGGCTACATGTAACATTTTCACCACCAAACAAGAATATTTTAATCCCTAAAACAAGGATTAAAGCAAGCTTTCAGCTTACATTCGCTGAGAGAAAAACACCTCCTGTGAAGTATCTAGAAGTGTGTTTTAATCTATTTTTTTTTTAACCGAGCATAAAGAGGATAGTAAGAGTGGAGAGATGAACTGGGGTAAGACAGAGCAGAGTAAGAACTTGTGGGTTAAAGAAGATAAAATAAAGCTTATATTCCATGGCTTTACATAGGATTACATCATATATTGTTCTATTATACATGGGAAAACCCGTAGTTTTGCAGTTCATTTCGAGCAGACTTAAGATTAAACATACCCTAAACTAGCTATAGATAGATAAATACTCATGAAAATTAAGCGAAGTTATGTGGGATCAAGAAAGTCAAGTACAATGATTATTTAAGGTAATAATTATCTCTTTTATTTTAAAATATAAATGGAGATAAATTTAAATACAATGACAATTTTAGTAATAATACTTGTTATAACTCTTGAAGTTAAGCACACTGATCATACTATGCAAAAGCTTTTGATTGTTACACCAGCTGTATCAGACTGGAGGGATTGTAACACCGTATAATTAATGGAAGTAGAAGAATGGTGGAGATAAGAGATACAGGATGAGGAATACTTAACATAAGAGTACGTATTCTCAACGGGCAGGTTTCAAAGATGTATTTGACGCAATATACAGCGCTGTGTGACCCTAGTGGGTTTAGCGTTTCTGATTTATTGTAATAATAATAACTGACGCAATATATTGTAATCATGAATCACATTAGGGTAAGGAAGTGTTCTTGTAACAATAGTTTTGGAGCAGTTGGTAGATAATGAACCTTCGGAATCTTCTTGAGTGATGTTCAAACAGCAACTTTCTCTAGTTGCTATTGTCCTTATGTGATTTGCTGTGATAACTCCCCAGGTACAAATTCCATAGTTGATTAAGGATAGATTAGGGAGTAGTACAGAGTAAGTAATGTTTGAGGCACGTATTACCCCATCTTAGAAAGGATGCCCACTGTTTTGAATACCTTCTTGGATATGTTCTGGATATAAGTCTTCAGTTTTAAATTGATGTCAAGGTGTAATCCTAAGAATTTTCCTTAATCATATAATGAGTCATTATATTCACATTTTTAGCTTTGTTCCCAAACATATAGAAAATCTTTTTAATAATAAAAGTGAGTCTACTGGTTTTCATCCAAGTGGCCTGACCACTTTGGATTGGTTTTAAGAGAAGTATGTTTGTCAGCACTTAAAAGTGAGCTTTCTCTAAATTCCTGTCGTTTTTCGCACACAAGTAGTACATAATGACGCAAGGTGTAAGCCCTTCTGATAAAAATTAAGCTTTACTTTTCCGTCATCTAGTTGTACAAACTCCCAAAGGCTAACCGAAGCCAGGAGGAAATAACATCTAGTGGTGCGTAATAAACTAGCTGCTCTGGCGGCACAGCTAAACTAGATTTTTAGATTTTGCCACCGAAGTGGCTAGTTTATTGTGCACCCAATATTCATCCTGTGGAGGGTATTATTATTACAATCAAGGGGGAAGCGCTAAACCCGGAGGATTATACAGCGCCTGGGGGGGGGGGGATGTGGAAGGCATTCAGGCTTAATTTGGGGAACTGGAGCACAGATCCAATTCCCTAAATCAAGAGCCCCTCACCAACATCAAGGAACCTTCCTTGAGGGGTGTGGAGGGTAGCGCAAGAGCATATGGATACACAAAATACCTAGAAACTAGGCCCCAAAAGGGTTAACAGGTGTACATATGGGCTTTTTAACTACATATCTACTAACTCAGTGGATCTGCTGATTTTGTTGAATCCGTCATGAACTTGTAGCTCTTCCAGGAAAAAAAATATTTTATAATATTTTATTCGAATCTATAGAAATGAAAAAAAGTTTTGTGGCAGGATATGGGAACGTTGTTCCCAAGACCTTCATGGGACGCTTGGTAACCATCTTGTACAGCGTGGTGGGCATCCCGATGCTCCTAGTGGCCCTGGCTAACGTTGGTGAATGTCTCGCTGATGCCTGCAGGTATATATACAGGTGAGTAGAGACAGACACAGACAACGTACCTTGAATATATTTGAAGGAGAGATAACAGAAGTCTTTACGATCTGTGTCAACGCTACCTGCTGAGATAATTGAACTATTGTTTGACTATTACTAGTTTTATGTAGACGTAGGCCAGGATAGTAAAGCAGAAGGCTCATTGCCAAGTTCTTCACATCCTCTGACCACACTACTTCCATCAAACAAAAAGGATGAGGGAAATCCGTTGTTCTACAGCCACTAACCACAGCTACTATTCATAGCCGCTAACCACAGCCACTAATCACAGCCTCTAACAGCCACTAATCACAGCCACTAACCACAGCCACTAACCACAGCCACTAATCACAGCCACTAATCACAGCCGCTAACAGCCACTAATGAGAGCCGCTACCTCAAAGCCACTTTCCTGGCAATCACTTCCTTATAGTTAGTTACTACACCACCTTCCCCATATTTCCCCCCCTCCCCCTCTAGCCTCTTCCCCACAGCCACGTCACCATAGCTACTTCATAGTCACTGACCACAGCCACTTCCCCACAGTCACTAACCACAGTTACTATCCCACAGCCGGATGTGTTGCCGCTGGTGTCGAGTGAAACGAAAATTTTCTGAGCTCAAGAAGAAGACACCACAGAAAGGATTTTTGTGGAACGATGACGTTGGTTACGAGTCATACATGCCTACGCAGAAGGTAGGTGCTACATCAACAATGGAAGGAGCTACAATAACATCTCTTATAAGTAGTGTATTTCTGCCACGTTTAGAAGTCGGAGGGTCGAGTGTCCACCGTTTCCTGTGCTTAATGACCCACATAGTTTTAGCGCCTCAGTTATAGAATATATATATATTATGTATTTTCTATAGCTCGGTCCCAGTAAAAGCCAGTGTAACCAAACTTTGCCACATACCTCCTAGTACACAAGAACAAGTCTAGGTTATACGAAAACCCAGAAATTTTGATTAGGGGGGCGGCACCCCCTTGGAGTAATTTTTCGGTTGCAGTATGTTGAGGGAAGAATCATTTTAAAGGTCTTTTTATACTGATTTCAAAAACTTGTACTGATTTCAAAATATTTAGTTGGAAGGGGCGCCCCTTGTTAGTTATTTCAAGATGTTTATTATACCCATGGTGTTCACGGTAGTCAAAATATTACAGAGGCACATAATGGGTCCAGGGAGCGGGCCGCAAAGTTTTGATAGCAAAACAACTTAGTGATAATGAATTATTTACATATTTACATCTGGTTACAGTCCTCATGAGTTATTTTATGCAGACGTGAATTAGATCGCAAAAAAATACAAAAAATAATTACCTTATACTATTTTAGCAACATACACCTACAGTAACAAAAAGAAAAATTAAGTTGTTATGCGTTGTATACAGTGAGCAAAGTCTCGGTATTTTTCCAGAATGGTTTGTAATATACCACTGTGGATAAAATACTCTTACATTTCTTGAATATGTCTGAGTGAGTTGTCTCTGAATTCTTTAATTTTATCGCAGTGCAGCACATAACGAGGCAAGATGTGACAGTTTAGTTTAGTCTAGCACCTGGTAATGGTGTTAACTTCCCAGAGATACATATTTGTAACTCAGCCAGAGCCGGGCGGTAGTGGTATCCAAGAGTCTGCTTATTACCTGGAGGGCAATCCGGGAATCAACGCCCCCGCGGCCCGGTCCACGACCAGGCCTCCCGGTGGATCAGGGCCTGATCAACGAGGCTGTTACTGCTGGCCGCACGCAATCCAATGTACGAACCACAGCCCAGCTGATCCGGCACCGCCTTTAGGTATCTGTCCAGCTCCCTCTTGAAGACAACCAGAGGTCTTCCCGTAATGCCCCTTATTGCTGGTGGGAGGCTGTTGAACAGTCTTGGGCCCCGGACACTTATTGTGTATTTTGATAAATGTACAATAGACATATGCCTCCTTCTGCATGACAGATTATTTATAATAATGGGGAGAGCTAAACCCGTAGGATTATACAGTACCTGTGGGGGCGGGGTATGGAAGGTATTCAGGCTTAATTCAGGGAACTGGAGCACAGATCCAATTCCCTAGATCAAGAGCCCCTCACCAGCGTCAAGGAACCTCCCTTGAGGGGTCTGCATGACAGAAGGGTATACCTAGAGAGGGTTTCAGGGGTCAACGCCCCCGCGGCCCGGTCTGTGACCAGGCCTCGTGGTGGATCAGGGCTTGATAAACCAAGGCTGTTACTATTGGCCACAGGCCAACTGGGCTGTAGTTCGTACGTCAGCTTGCGTGCGGCCAGCAGTAACAGCCTGGTTGATCAGGCCCTGATCCACCATGAGGCCTGGTCTCAGACCGAGCCGCGGGGGCGTTGACTCCCGAAACCCTCTCCAGGTAAACTCCAGGCAAACCGACGTACGAACCACAGCCCGGCTGGTTAGGTACTGAATTTAGGTGACTGTCCAGCGCCTTTTTGAAGACAGTCAGGGGTCTATTGGTAATCCCCCTTATGTATGCTGGGAGGCAGTTGAACAGTCTTGGGCCCCTGACACTTATTGTGTTGTCTTTTAGTGTACTCGTGACGCCCCTGCTTTTTATTTGGGGGATGTTGCATCTCCTACCGAATCTTTTGCTTTCGTAGGGAGTGATTTTCGTGTGCAAATTTGGGACTAGTACCTTAGGATTTTCCAAGTGTATATTATCATGTGTTTTTTCTCGCCTGCGTTCCAGGGAGTATGTTTTTTCTGGGGGGGATTGCACAAAATAGCACTTCATATTAAAGTTATTTTGATACTAATACTGAAAAATTTATTTGGGGTCGGCGCCCCTTGGGGCACTTTTTGGTTGCGTCATATTTTTTAGAACCTAAATTTAAGATACGTACACTTTTGAAAAAACTACGAAATCCCTTGAATTGTCAAAAAAAAAAAAATCCCTGGTTTCTAACTTGTCGTGGATTACTATAAATTCTTTCGTATATTAATTAAACCTGAGAGAATATTCAGAGTATAAATAGAATAAAGCATCTACTGTAGGTCTCGGTATATATTCACTGAATTTAAATAACTATTTTATGGGAAAAAATTACATCCATACTAAAAGACAAACATCAAAACAGCATTCTTAGAAAACAGTACCTGTAAGAATACAGAAATGAAAGCCAGTGCAATGGAGGGAGGCAGGGGTCCTGGTGCTAGAGAAACAGGTATGGATAAAGGTATGCGAATTCCAGAGTTACAAAATAGCACTACCATCGGTGCTGTAGATAGTGGGTGTCAGAAAACAATGCATCAGTAAGGAACGCTGCCAAGAAAAATCATGGCAAACAGAAATTTAACCTATGAAAATTCTATGCCTTGGGTGTCTGCAGGCATGGAATATCTGGAAAAACAGGTGGAATGTGCAACTCTGACCATCCCGGAAAATTCCGTACCCACATGACAGCAGAAGAAATCAATTCTTCTTGTAATTTCTTGCACCCTGAAATGCGTCGCTCTTCAATGTAGGAAAGAGAGTGCTACAGTATATATTGTCAGGCACGCCACCTAAAGGGGTCAAGAAGGTACAGATCACTCAGACCATGGGAAGCAAACCAGAGATGGAGGTTTCTCTAGTGCCAGGAAGGAAAAAAAAAAAAACTGCCAAGAAATGGCAGGAATCATACACCAATTCATATCGCTTCTGGAGCGGAGGCAGTCAGTGGTCTCCACTCCAAAACAACAGATATTAGCGCCAGCAAACAAAGCACCCCGCATACCATCAATATGACATTTATCTTTGCAAATATACAAGGTCTACAGTCATCAGCGAACAACAAAATACATTTCATCAGTGGACTGCTCGCAGTCAAACACAATGTTCGCAGCTTTCACGGGGACCTACATAAAGGATCACTTTGACAATGAAATATGGATCCCAAGTTATAACCTATACAGATGGGAGAGTGAACAGGCAAAAAAACAAAAAAAAGGCGGGGGAGGGGTGGCCTGTACGGAACTACTAAATACTTCAAATGATGTAGTTGAAGTTTTGGCAGTAAAGATCGAAAACCTGTCATTGTGGTGGTATACAAGCCTCCGGATGCAACTTCCCAACAATTCCAGGAATAGCTTTTGAAAATTGACCACTGTGTGGAAAATCTTCCGGCTCTTGCCCCAAACATCTTGCTCTTGGGGGGGATTTCAATTTAAGTCACCTAAAATGGAGGAGTGTAGAAAATAACATTTCAGCAAAGATAACCCCAGGAAGCAGCTCAGATGAAAATTCACACACACATTAGCTATTAAAGCTTTGCGCCAAATTCACCTTAAACCAGCAAATAATAGAGCCAACAAGACTGGAGAATACACTGGACCTCATCTTCACCAACAGTGATGGTCTGATACAAAATATAACCATGTGTCGAACCTTAGTATCTCCCAGTTCCCATGCGCAGTGTGATCCCTACGGGTTTAGCACTTCCCCTACTACTACCACTACAACTGATAATAATAATAAAAGTTAATTTTGTGTTTATGTTCAGATCAACAAGATAATAAAAATGCAACCTGTCGAATTAACTTTACATAAGCAGGATTTTTCATTAACCTAAATAGATACATGATTTATGTCAAGTGAGACAACAGCGACACTTTCCTGCTGTGTTAAATAACCTCATCCCACACCACTTTAACTTAATTTTTTCCCTGAAACAAAGAAACTTCTTAAATCAAAATCAAAGCTCTGCCTCGAATCCAAACATACCTTAATATATAGCCCAGCTGGAGCCAGCTGGGCTACAAGTATCTCGGGGAAGTTATATCACCAGCAGATGTAGACATAATTAAGTGTAAACTCTGCCAGATGGACTACTGTTTCATCTTGCGACATTATGTGCTAGAATGGATTTAGTGACAACTCACAGATTTTCAAGAAATATCAAAGAATTTTATCCAGTGCTTTTTGTACCAATCATTCTGGAAGAAATACCCTGACTCTGCCTATTGTAAATAACTCACAACTGTTTAAACTTGTTTAATTAAATTCAATCATACCTTGTTAAAATAAGAAGCAATATAAATAATTCAGAACTCCATATGAACCACACTGTAATACTTTTGTGACTGAATTAATGTCTGGATAAATAACTCACTACGATTGTAACCAGAAATAAACATGTAAATAGTTTATTACCACTAACTTGTTTAACCACGAAAACTTTGCGACCCAGTCCCTGGACCCATTATGTACCTCTGTAATCTTTTGATTACCGTTCACAGGATAGGTATGGGGGCATAATAAAAATCTTAAACTACTTACAATGGCGTCTTCAAATTCAAATTCAAATTCAAAGTTTATTCTCTATAAGGATTACAATGCTGAGTTTACAGAATTTGGTTATTGTGTGGTTTACATGTAGTAAAATAATGATTACAGAGTGTACCACTAGAACACCTAGCATGGCTAGGCATTTCGAGCAGACTTAGTTTAATTCTTAATTTTAAAATATTACAAATTATGAGGTAAGTTGGCATTATGGCTAAGTGACTAAATACTAGTTTGTGAGTTTAGCAATGTGAATGCTTTTGTTTTGGCACAGTACATAGTTTCAGTATTGGAGTATCACAGGATTCATTATTTTAAGATTGAGATTAATATTTCTGTTTATGGTCAAATGGGTGAGTGAGTGTAAGTGTGAACCACCAGGTGGTATTCGTGTAGTTAGTTGACAGGGTGTATCAGGGAGATAAGATGTTTTCTAATGGTAGTTTTGAAGGTGATGAATGTGTCTTCAGTTCTAGAGTTCTCAGGTAGGGTGTTCCAGATTTTAGGGCCTTTGACATACATTGATTTTTTGTAAAGGTTTAGTCGGACACGGGGAATGTCGTAGAGATGTTTGTGTCTGGTGTTATGCCTGTGGGTTCTGTCACAACTATCAAGAAAGCGTTTTAGGTCAAGGTTGATATTGGAGTTTAAGGTCCTGTAGATGTAGATTGCACAGTAGTAAGTGTGGATGTACTGAACAGGGAGTAAGTTTAGGTCTATGAAGAGTGGGGGGGGGGGGGTGTTGCCAGGGATGGGATTTAGTAATTATTCTTACTGCAGCTTTTTGTTGGGTTATTATTGGCTTTAGGTGTGTTGCTGCAGTTGATCCCCAAGCACAAATAGCATAGGTGAGGTATGGATAAATAAGTGAGTGGTATAGTGTGAGAAGGGCATTTTGTGGCACGTAGTATCGTATCCTGGAGAGGATCCTAACCGTTTTGGATACTTTTTTGGTTATGTGTTGGATATGGGTGCTGAAATTCAGGTTGTTGTCAAGGTATAGGCCTAGGAATTTGCCCTCATTATGTCTGGTAATTAGAGTGTTGTCGATCTTAATGTTAATTTGTGCATCTCCTGCTCTGCTACCAAACATAATATAGTAGGTTTTGTCAGTGTTAAGCGTAAGTTTATTGGCTGTCATCCAAGTCGATATTTTGATCAGCTCCTCGTTAACAATGGTGTTGAGGGTGGCAAGATTAGGGTGAGAGATGACATAAGTCGTGTCGTCAGCAAAGAGAATGGGTTTCAGGTGTTGGGATACGTTTGGAAGATCATTGATGTATATGAGGAAGAGCAGGGGACCAAGGACACTTCCCTGCGGAACTCCAGTATCAAGTGGCCGTGTTGTTGATGCTGTGTCTTTAATGGTGACATACTGATACCTATTAGTAAGGTAAGATTTGAAATAAGCAAGCGCATGGCCTCTTATACCGTAATGGTCAAATTTGTGGAGTAGGATGTCGTGGTCTACTCTGTCAAAAGCTTTTCTTAGGTCAATAAAAATTCCTAGTGGATATTCCTTATTTTCCAATGCTGTGTAAAGCAGATCTAGCATTTTTATGATTGCATCATTAGCGCTTTTATTTTTCCTGAATCCAAATTGGCAGGGGTTGAGTATGTTTTGTGCCGTTATAAATGAATATAGTCTCCTGTGCACGAGTTTCCCCCCTCCCTGTTATCCCTGCTTGGTCCTCCAGTTTTTGCACCAATCTCTTGTGTGGAACTGTGTCAAACGCCTTCTTGCAGTCCAAGAAAATGCAATCCACCCACCCCTCTCTCTCTTGTCTTGCTGCTGTCACCATGTCATAGAACTCCAGTAGGTTTGTGACACAGGATTTCCCGTCCCTGAAACCATGTTGGCTGTTGGCTGTGTGTGTGTGTGTGTGTGTGTGTGTGTGTGTGTGTGTGTGTGTGTGTGTGTGTGTGTGTGTGTGTGTGTGACTCAACAATCAATATTTGCACCAATAACTCGTTACAGTTGTGACAGGGTGTGGAAGTGTGAATTGCTCATTATTCTATAATTTGTTCATGATTGTAGCCATGTATAAACGTAAGTAACCATTCTTACAGGATTCATTACCTTTGTAACTTGTGAGTTCATTACCTTGTACCTAGTTCAGCTATCAAAACTTTGGGGGCCCAGTCCCTGGACCCATTACGTACCTCTGTAATCTGTAAATACCTTTGTAACTTGTCATGATTGTGACCAGACCTACCTGGAGTTTATTACCTTTGTAAACTGTGAGTTCATTACCTTTGTAAATTGTGAGTTTATTACCTCTGTAACTTGCTCAGCTATCAAAACTTTGGAGTCCAGTCCCTGGACCAATTATGTACTTCTGTAATCTTTTGACTACCGCCCACAGGATGGGTATGGGGTGCATAATAAACATATTAAACTAAACTGCACGAGTTTCTCAAATATTTTGGATAGCAATGGTAAGTTTGATATTGGCCTATAGTTGTTTAAGTCTGTAGGGTCACCACCTTTGTGTATTGGTGTAACCCTTGCCATCTTGAGTAGTTTCGGGAAGGTGCTAGTTTCTAGTGACTTGTTAAAAAGTAATGAAATAGCATGCGAAAGGACATGGGCCACTCGCTTGTACAGTAATGGTGGGACATGAGACAGATTCCCTGAGTTATTTTTAAGTGACTTTATAATCTCGGTGGCTTCCGTGGGCTCAGTTGGTGCAAGATAGAAGGAATTTGGGAAATTCCCATCTAGGTAGTCCCCGGCATGGGCATTGGTATGTGGGATTTTATTGGCGAGATTAGATCCTATGGTTGAGAAGAAGTCGTTTATCTTGTTAGCTGTGTCAGTGGGATGTAGTGGTGTTTCATTAGGTTTAGTTAGGACAATATTCTTGTTTTTTTTTTTCAGTTTGTGGGTCCCTAGAATCTGAGAGTGTTTTCCAGGTCTTTTTTATATCTCCTCTAGTGTCTGTGAATCTACTGGAGTAGTATAGTTGTTTGGCTTTCTTTATTACTTTGATGAGAACTGATGAATAGTGTTTAAGAATATCTTTGTGTATTAAGCCCTGTCTATAGTGCTTTTCATATTGGTGTTTCTTGTCAATGGATTTCAGAATGGTGCTGGTTAGCCATGGGCAACCAAGCCGTTTGTTTGTGATCTGTTTCGTTTTTATAGGACAATGTTTGTTATATAGTCTAAGTAATTTGTTAAGAAAAATGTCTGTCCAGTCATCAATACCATTGGCCTTGGAGAATTCTGCAGGCCAGTCAACAGCCTCTAGGTCAGCTGTGAACTTCCTTATTGAGGCCTCGTCATGAAGTCTAAATGAGACTTTGTTGTATTCAAGTGGTGGTTTACTAATGTTTGTCAGGAGGAAGGTAGGGTAGTGGTCTGTAGTGCTATGTGTGATTATCCCTGATTTAAGGGGGGGTTACACATTATAAAAACAATAAGGTTATATAGTACGTAGAGCCGATGCTGACTAGGCAACTTTTAAATTCTAAGTCAGGAATCTTAATTCCATAATTTTTAAAGGGGTGGAAAAGTAAGCCATTGGAAGGCCTCGTTCAGATGGCTGAAAGCTCCAGCTGCTCGTCACCATATGACTAAGACCCGCGTCAGGAAACACTTGCTTTGTTTGTTGCAATCGTTACTTACCGTGACTAGGCTAGTTTTGCGGACCAACCCAGTCTTTACCCCTCTCTCTGTCTCTAGGTAAATGTGCCCATCGTTGTGAACCTGTTCGTGATCACGGTGTACGCCATGATGTGCGGGATACTCTTCTGTTGGTGGGAGCAATGGGACTTCATGTCAGCCATCTACTTCACCTTCATCACCCTCACCACCATCGGCTTCGGTGACCTGGTGCCGGGTAACCATGACGGAGACGGGTTATCTGCTATTTTCAAGATGTTTGTAACCTGTCTTATATGTTTCGTAGGTCAGTTTCCCGGTAAATGCTGATCTTCATATTAACTTATTAATGATCCCTGTTTCATGTTATTAATTAGACTAATAGTTGGCTCACAGTCATAAGGTTCCAGGATCCAACCTTGCTGGAAATATTCAAGTACGGTATTGGGTAAAATATACATTCACACTGTGATGTATCTAATGGTACTAATATATGTATGTCACTTGTTGAATGCTGCCCTTAAAAGAAATTTTTGATTTTCTAATAGATTAGAGAAACTGCCACTCCTATATTTTTAAAGTGACAGCAGGAGTAATAATAATAATAATAATTAGATGCATTTCTGTTACTGCACGATCCGAGAGAGGTATTTCTGAATTCGATAAGCCTAGCTTTCTCTACCTCAGTGCATGTGGAAGGAATAGTGGAGGGTGGTAAAAAATTACAATGCCGCACAGTATAAAACTATATATATATATATATATATATATATATAATATATATATATATATATATATATATATATATATATAATATATATGTCTGTGTTGTGATCAAGAGCAAACAAGAGATCAATAATGCACAACAACCACAGGAGGGGGAGATGATGTTGCTTGAGGCTCTTCAGGTTGCAAATTGTAATCTTTTGACTACCGCCCACAGGATGGGTATGGGGTGCATAATAAAGATATTAAACTAAAGTGAGTGTGTGTGTGTGTGTGTGTGTGTGTGTGTGTGTGTGTGTGTGTGTGTGTGTGTGGTGTGTGTGTGTGTCTGTCTGTCTGTCTGTCTGTCTGTGTGTGTACTCACCTATTTGTGGTTGCGTGTGTGTGTGTGTGTGTGTGTGTGTGTGTGTGTGTGTGTGGTGTGTGTGTGTGTGTGTGTGTGTGTGTGTGTGTGTGTGTGTGTGTTAGTGTGTGTGTGTGTGTGTCAACAATCAATATTTTCACCAATAATTTATTACAGTTGTGACCGGGTGTGGAAGTGTGAATTGCTCATTACACTATAATTTGTTCATGATTGTAGCCATGTATAAACGTAAGTAACCATTCTTACAGGATTCATTACCTTTGTAACTTGTGAGTTCATTACCTTGTACCTAGTTCAGCTATTAAAACTTTGGGGCCCAGTCCCTGGACCCATTACGTACCTCTGTAATCTGTAAATACCTTTGTAACTTGTCATGATTTTGACCAGACCTACCTGGAGTTCATTACCTTTGTAAATTGTGAGTTCATTACCTTTGTAACTTGCTCAGCTATCAAAACTTTGGAGTCCAGTCCCTGGACCAATTATGTACCTCTGTAATCTTTTGACTACCGCCCACAGGATGGGTATGGAGTGCATAATAAACATATTAAACTAACAGGAGCAATATAATGGAAAACAACGGAATGGGAATCTCAGGAGTAGACCTGTTTTAGCTAATATAATGGTATCATTAAGTATACCGAACCCCGTTTTTGTAAGCAATAAGTTATAAAAATATCCTACTTCAAAAGAAAAAGATAAATATATTTTCTTTTAAAATCATATCAATATCTTTATCATATTATTTAATTTTTGTTTTATTACTCCCACTTCATGTATAGGCATGGCGCTGTTGTCAATGTGCATCAACCTAATGCAAGAACAACTGATAGTAAAGACTCGCTGGATGTTGATGGAGCTGGGCATCATGGAAGAGGATATCGACCCCATGGAGAAGTACAAGGTCGGTATCGGTGCTTCTGGTGGCAAGTATATGGTAATATACATGAGTTAATATAACCCTCAAATATGTGGGGACAGTGAATAAATAAGGATACAAGCATGCTTTGTTCAAGACATTTATTGGGGAAATGTTTCGTCACGAGTGGCTCCTTCAGCCCTAATCTCCAGCCATTTATTGAGGAAATGTTTCGCGACGAGTGGTTTCAATCCTAATGAAGAACCTACTCATGGCGAAAAGTTTCTTCAATAAATGTGTTGAATCGTGAATGTGTATCTAAATAGCCTCGGTATAACAATACCTATTATCCAACCCAATCGGGTCAAAGGTAGTATCACTCCTGTTTTTAAATATCTGGTGTTATCCATAAATACGTGATACAGTTGATCTATTTCAGACATGCCTAGACTAATTATTAGGTGTCTGTTTAGTGTATATTTCTTAGCCTAGACTGAATACTGCATGTCTGTATAGTTACTTGCTTCATTGATTAACTGGATTTAAAGTCTGTGTACTATACAAAAGGTTTAAAGCAGCATATCGCATGTACACCAGTCAAGGATATTTTAATCCCTGATATAGGGATTAAAGTAAGATAGAAGTTGTCCAAGATAAACACATACTGAGTTATACACCCGTCCAGGTGTACAGGGGCTGTTGCTCTTAGGCATACTCATTTGACTTACTCGTTATAATAGATACAAAATGTCTGTATGTGTTATATGTCAGCCTGCTATGTGGCTTTTTCTTTCTAATAATTTTTTAACTCTGCAAATAAAATATTAAATCAACATTACAATAGCATACTGTTTATACTTTATTAAACTCATTGTTATTCCTGCTACAGTACAAGAAGAGTAAGAAGGGGACGGTACTGGAGACCCACAAAGACAGGGACGGTAATAAACGCCTCAGTCTTATGAATGCCGATGAGGGAGAGTCTACCGCCTCTAAGCCTAAAACATACTCCAACATCAAGGAGGAACTGGAGGATATGTAGTCTTTAGTCTTCACCACCAAGCCTAAAACGTTCTCCAACACCAAGGAGGAACTGGAGGATATGTAGTCTTTAAACTTCACCACCAAGCCTAAAACGTTCTCCAACACCAAGGAGGAACTGGAGGATATGTAGTCTTTAAACTTCACCACCAAGCCTAAAACGTTCTCCAACATCAAGGAGGAACTGGAGGATATGTAGTTTTTCGTCTTCATCACCAAAGCCCAGTCCCTGGACCCATTATGTACCTCTGTAATATTTTGACTACCGCCCACATGTGTATGGGATGCACAATAAAGACATTAAACCAAACACCATCAAGCTGAGATGTTTTCCAAAGTCAGTGAGAAGCTGGACGATGTGTAGTCTTTAGCCTTCACCTTTTAAAAAATGTCATAGATAAGGGTAGTCACACAGTGTCCTGTATTAAAATATTATAGGAAAATACCAGGCTTATAAGAGAATATGTACAATACATGTCCATCACCAACTACATTGTTTAATAACTTAACTGAGTAAAACTGAAAAATCTTAACCTAGAAATTTTAATAGCCTCTGTGGCATTTAATTTGACATCGGGAGAAGTAGAGGTTGGGTAAGATTCACCAGGAAACGGGTTCCCTGACGCAGATGTTAGTCATATGATGACCCCATTACTGGAGCTTTTGGTCATCTGACCGAGGCTTTTCGTTGGCTTATCGGTACACCCCTTTAAAAATGAAGATTATTATCGGGAGGAGACCTGATACCTTAGTTAAGGTTAGTCCAAATTTTATTCCCTAGTAAGAAAATAGTTAAATTGTTATTGGTACACCCTAGATATATGGATATAATAAGTAGGTTAAAAAAAGGACCTAAGGAAAAAGAGAGTGATAACAGAACGTCCAGCAGACGGTTAAGTCCTCGTAATTGTCAGGATTCTGGTGATATCGCTCAACTAGTGGCAAGTTACAGCTGACTCGACAGACGACCCTTCACGGGGGAAGAACTTAGATGTCTGTGAAAGACTTGATCTAAGTAATTTGAGCTATTCTCCCTTTCCTTAGACCACCCACATTATTTCGCATACCTGTAGGTTACCTGTGGTTGCTTCCGGGATCACCGTTCCCTCGACCTGGTCCCAGACCAGGCCTTTTGGTTGCTGGCCTAATCAATCAGACTACTGGTACCCGCCGTCCTCAGTCCGACATCTGCACCACAGCCTGGTTGATCAGGAGCTGAGTGGAGGAATTTATAGCGTTTCCTCCTGAAGACAGCCGTTGATAATCCCTCATTCCCCGGGTTGTTTCCATGATTATAATTAACAAGAGCCGGTTTATCCTCAGCACTGCAGTTGTAACATCTGCGAGGGGTAACAATGACATGCTGCCACACTATACAGTGGAGTGCCCAAACATCAAGATGTTCAGACCTGCTGGACTGGAGATTGGAGCACTTCGAACTTCGCATCCACTTAAACTGAGCTGCAAGAATAGGGTTGTCTCGTGACTTATGGGTGGAGGATCGAGCCTCCAACACTCATTGCACTGAATAACAAACGAGTTTAGCATTTCATGGAAATATATAATGTAACCACTGAATACACTCTGAAACCTTAGAGGATAGTCTCATTGTCCATCCTGAGTCTGCAAGTGTGCCGAATATTAACTTACTCCAGAGAGGGAGCCGTGCAGGCTGGGACAGATGTAGTACCTAGTTCCAGCGCTTGTGTGTTTTTTGTCCAGAGTGGAAGCAGTATAAATTGCGAGAGGTGTAGCAAGTTAAAGCATGTGTGTGTTTGGGGGATGGGGGAGTGGGCCATTAAAATGGAAAGGAGAAAGGGTAGGATAGAACACTTGTGGCTATACAGCAAGAGAGAGAAATATGAAATGTTAGATGGCCTGACCACTTTGGATGGGTTTTAATACAGTGGTTTCGTCACACTGACGAGCTTACAATCCTGTCAGTCTAATAAAGCGAACTTACCTGGAGAGTGTTCCGTCAACGCCCCAGTGGCCCGGTCCGAGACCAGGTCTCCTGGAGGATCAGTACCTCTTCAACTAGGCTGTTACTGCTGGACGCACGCAGTCCAACGCACAAGACATATCCCAGTTGATCAGGAAGTAACTTTACGAACCTATCCAGTTCCCTCTTGATGACAGCAACGTGTCTATTGGTAATCCCTCTTATGTATGATGGGAGGCTGTTAAATAATCTTGGTCTAAAATAAAAGTTAAGTCGGCTTGTTGCCCCAGTTACCTCACAGTATCAAGTTGTCATCCGTGGCCCTGAACTCTGAACACCCAGCTACCAGAAGGTATATGAAACACTGCTCTAACACCTGCAGGAGTTTTCAGGAAGAAACTAGACACCTACCTTTTTAATCTAGCTGATCGGCCAGGTTGTAAGCTGCTAGCACCAACATCCTGGCTAACCATGTAGTCAACAAGGAAATCTGGCCTCAGGCAAAAAGAAAAGGACTATTCTGAGTTAATTACCGAGTATAAGCCAAGTAGTGTGGCTTATATCCTTTTCCCAGGATACATCCCACATCAGTCAACTAACTCACAGGTGCCTATTTACTGCTACATCAACAGGAGCAACAGGTGTAAGAAAACATGTCCACGCTGTTGTCTCCACCTGCCCTGGATCGAACCCACGTCCTTCAGTTGTGAGCTTAAAAGGTTACTGCTGTTAACAAATAAAATTTTATTTAGGTTTTGTATAAAAATCTTACAAATATTTTGGTGAAAGTATACAACCGCTCCTCGGTGGATATCGATCATTTTGAGAAATCATGCATTAGTTTCCTGTTTTAAGATATAAGCACAAATTATTTTTCCTTGTGCAAATTATTTTGCGAGATATAGCAGAAATAATGCATTCACTTGGGGCGAGCAGCACGACACAGCCAATTGGTAACGGCGCTCCTGGCCAATCACAGACGAATCCAATCACCGAGTGGGTGGGATTCGAACCCATGGCCCATAACCTAATAATTATCCCTATCCCTCTTGCTACCCATTGCCCCTGCATCCTTCCCTGCCCTGCTGCGCTGTATAACCCTTGTGGTTTAGCGCTTCCTTTTGATTATAATAATAATCGAACCCATGGCAAGCCAAAAATAAAACTCACAGGGCAGTGTGTTAACCACTGGTCCATGCCGGCCAAACAAGACTCATTTGTCCAGATATATTTTTATATACTTTTAGGAGTGTTAGCATGGACCGCACTGTGACCACAAATGCAGATTTTTACAGATGAATCACACGTCTGCATGATTGTGGCGTGCTCTAGCTCAAGTCCCCTCAAAACCACTGTGGAAAATTGCATTTATCTGAATGCATTATTATATGCATAACAGTAAATGAGCATTGATAATTATTATTTATCAGTTAGACAAGTAGGAATTTGGGACACCTAGGTCGCAAAAAATGTCCCCCTTCGATACCTACCACTGTCATATCCACAAGTTGCTCTAGACCTATTAATTAAATGAAATATACATCACTAGGAATGCTGGTAAATATATAAATTTGTGGACTGTATATTAAAATTAAAAAATGATTATATATAAACACATTCAAATTCAAATTCAAATTCAAAATTCAAAGTTTATTCTCTATAAGGATTACAATGCTGAGTTTACAGAAATTTGGTTATTGTGTGGTTTACATGTAGTAAAATAGTGATTACAGAGTGTACCACTAGAACGCTTAGCATGGCTAGGCATTTCGGGCAGACTTAGTTTTATTCTTAATTGTAAAATATTACAAATTATGAGGTAAGTTGGTATTATGGCTAAGTGACTAAATACTAGTTTGTGAGTTTAGCAATGTGAATGCTTTTGTTTTGGCACAGTACATAGTTTCAGTATTGGAGTATCACAGGATTCATTATTTTAAGATTGAGATTAATATTTCTGTTTAGGGTTTCAAATGGGTGGGGTGTAAAGTGTGAACCACCAGGTGGTATTCTTTGTAGATAGTTGACAGGGTGTATCAGGGAGATAAGATGTTTTCTAATGGTAGTTTTGAAGGTGTTGAATGTGTCTGCAGTTCTAGAGTTCTCAGGTAGGGTATTCCAGATTTTAGGGCCTTTGACATACATTGAATTTTTGTAAAGGTTTAGTCGGACACGGGAAATGTCGTAGAGATGTTTGTGTCTGGTGTTATGCCTGTGGGTTCTGTCACAACTATCAAGAAAGCATTTTAGGTCAAGGTTGATATTAGAGTTTAAGGCCCTGTAGATGTAGATTGCACAGTAGTAAGTGTGGATGTACTGAACAGGGAGTAAGTTTAGGTCTATGAAGAGTGGGGGGGGGTGTTGCCAGGGATGGGATTTAGTGATTATTCTTACTGCAGCTTTTTGTTGGGTTATTATTGGCTTTAGGTGTGTTGCTGCAGTTGATCCCCAAGCACAAATAGCATAGGTGAGGTATGGATAAATAAGTGAGTGGTATAGTGTGAGAAGGGCATTTTGCGGCATGTAGTATCATATCTTGGAGAGGATCCCAACCGTTTTGGATACTTTTTTGGTTATATGCTGGATATGGGTGCTGAAATTCAGGTTGTTGTCAAGGTATAAGCCTAGGAATTTGCCCCCATTATTTCTGGTAATTAGAGTGTTGTTAAGCTTAATGTTAATTTGTGCATCTCCTGCTCTGCTACCAAACATAATATAGTAGGTTTTGTCAGTGTTAAGCGTAAGTTTATTGGCTGTCATCCAAGTCGATATTTTGATCAGCTCCTCATTCACAGTGGTGTTTACATAACAGAAGGAGAATATCTTAAAAACTCACCAATTTGACTGGAGATTAAGGTGTATCATACTCAGAAAACCTCACTCTAACTAAATCTATGAAAATAATGCTGGCCAGAATTACACACAAATCTAGAGAGCTTATCTGAGGTTCCTGGAGCTGTCTTGTCCAGTCGTCTGATATCTCAAGTTATGCAGGAATGCACATCCACCAATTTCGCCTCCTATTTGAGAGGTGTCAACATAATTTTAACCTCTAGAGCACGAAAATTTCTACCCATTACACCAACGTTCTAATACAAATTCAAAACCAAGATGGCGAGTGACTCTTTTTTTCGATAACATACTTCTTTTAAAATACAATATAGGGCATCTATTTACCTATAAATTACAGTATTTCCGGAAAATATATAGAGTATTTTCCACAACCACCATCATAACTCGCGAAATGGTAATAATAATACGATTGTAAACTATTCATAGAACGGGTAGGGCTCAAACCCATGGCAGGCGAGTCCTCAGACTCAGTGTCAGCTTGAAGCAGGTGGTTAACTCACTGGCCGGCGAGTTTTAGAACTTTCTTGCCATGGGTTCGATCCCCAATGGAAATAAGTCACTGTTTTGGGTTATCCTAAGTAATTTACGCATGTTATAATGATAATTTGTGCAACTGTATTTATGTGTTTCTGTCCCTAAATAAACCTATATCCGTACTATGATTTGTGTGCAATCGTGTTATTACGATTTCCAGAGTCATAAAGAAGAATGGAATGTAAATCGCACCGGTCCCATTCCTACCGCTGGCGGAGATAAGATAAGATAAGATAAGATAAGATTTCGTTCGGATTTTTAACCCCGGAGGGTTAGCCACCCAGGATAACCCAAGAAAGTCAGTGCGTCATCGAGGACTGTCTAACTTATTTCCATTGGGGTCCTTAATCTTGTCCCCCAGGATGCGACCCACACCAGTCGACTAACACCCAGGTACCTATTTGCTGCTAGGTGAACAGGACAACAGGTGTAAGGAAACGTGTCCGAATGTTTCCACCCGTCGGGAATCGAACCCGGGCCCTCCGTGTGTGAAGCGGGAGCTTTAGCCACCAGGCCACCGGAGTAAGATGAAGCTGCATTAGATTATTTTGGGTTACACTTCTTACATTTATACAACATAAAACAATGTCCATGAGAAAAGCACCTTAATGCTGGATATTTTTAGGAATAAATTATGACCGAATACAAGGGCAGGATGTCCACAGTTAACTTAAAATGTAAACTAATACCTGAATACTGCGGAATGAAATTCAATAAATGTGGCCATTTTTTTTACAATGGTCTTTTAAGTAAATAAAGTAAGTTTATATAAGTACAATTACACAAGTTTTGGTGATTACAGTCATCATACATAGTAATAAATGTGTAAATTACCTAAGATAACCCTAAAAAAATCAGTGACTAGGGGTCCTGAAGTCACACATGGGCTTATTTCCATTGGGGTCCTTATTTCCATTGACTTCACTGGATTATCCTAGGTTAAATTCTACATAATTTACTTTCTAAAACCACTGTAAAAGTTCCTAAAAATGTTTAAGGCCTAAAGTAAAACTTATTTTTGACCATTAAATATAAATTATATATGTAAACGTAAATAAAAACTTACCTACCTTAGAAGGGCCCTAATGTAAATAAGCCACTTTGTCTGACTTTTTTGGATTATCGCAGGTAATTTACACTGCATAATAATTGTACTTACGTGTAATTGTACCTAAATAGACATATTTAGAGAAGTACTGGTTTAGTATTGGTGTAATATGGCGCCGTGACACAAGTAGCACCGCTAGAACATTCATCAAGGAAACTCAAACAAGATGTAAATCACCTGCTATACGATTACTTTGATCACTGACCATTAAATAAGAGCAGCAGGGAAGAAACCATCAATGTCAGGGTAGAGAAAATGAGAGAGACGACACTGGAGGGTAAGCGACCACTGCTGCCCTTCATACACAGTAAAAACAGCTACGCCCGGG